GCGGGGCTGGCTGGCATGTGGTGCTGGGGGATCGAACCGCGGTCCCTGTGCTTTGCCAAGCTTGTTCCAAGTAGGTGCTTTAGACCGCTGAGCCGTCTCTCCAGCCCCCTTATATGTGTTTTAATAGAAGAATTTGACATGTCCCTTACCATTTTGTACATACCAGTAGTACTGGGGGGGCGGTGCACTAGGGATTAACCCAGGGCCTTGTGCATGCAAGGCAAAAACTCTACCATTGAGCTACATGCCCAGACTCATCCAGTGGTGCTTTTGTACCACTTTGTCCTAAAAAAATACTTTCTTCTCTCTCCCCTACTCCATTTCTCACCTTTTCACCTAAAATGAGTGTCAGCTTTTCCCTCTGGCGGGCCTCCTGGGACATTATGGAACTCTGTGAAGAGACCCAAAGACTAGGTCAGCCAAGTGGCTGAGGAAGACCTCTGGGAACAGTGTGGGAGCTCAGACAAAGGATCCTCCAAATTCTTGGGCACCTATCTAACAACCATTGGGAAACAGAAAAAAGAACAGGTTTTTGGAGAAAGATAGTTCTGATTCAGCATGGCAGTTCATCCACGTACAAGCGTCCAGTAAGTAGTTGAGGTGGGCATGGAATTCAAGAAAGAGGATGAGATTAGAAGTATAGATTTGCTTGTTGTATATGAGTAAGTGGTCACTTAAACCACTTATTTTCACCTAAAATCAATTGTAAATGTAGGTAAGATTATTGAAGGGAAGCATATGTAATGAAATGAGGACACTGAAGATGGAGCCCTAAGGAGCAAGAGAAAAAAACCATAAAGGCAATATAGAAGAGATGGGCACTTTTAACTGTTGGTGCCCTAGTACATTCCATAAAGGGTTTGAAGGCAGAGAAAAATCAAGAGTGATGTAAGGACAGTTGAGGGTAAAGAACATTTTAAGGGGCTGGGGAGATGGCTCAGTGGAATAAGCGCTTCCCTGGCAAGCACAAGGGCCTGAGTTCAATCCCTGGTTCCACAAAAAGAAAAAAAAACATTGTATTATTTATTTATTTATTTATTTTTTGGTGGAACTGGGGATTGAACTCAGGCCCTTGCTAGGGAAGCACTTATTCTACTGAGCCATCTCCTCGGCCCAAAAAAAAAACATTTTAAAGAGAGGCTGGCTAACATCAGGTGCTACATAGGTGAAATATGACAGTGACTGGGATACCAACTGGATTTGATAACTCAGGGACTTGAGTGTGATTCCAGAGAAGAAATGAGGGGATAAATCTGATTTCAGTGGTTTTAGGCATAAATGAGCGATAAGAAATAGACTGGTTGCTGATTACTTTCCTGAGAAAATTGGCTTTGAGGAGAAATAGGCAGCAACTGACGGGGGGGAGAGCACTGAAAGAGGAATAGTGTTGGTGTTGTGTTTTGTTTAATTTACCATACTAGGAGTTGAACCCAGGGCCTAAAACTTGCTTGGCAAACACTTTACCACTGTGCTATACCTCCAGCCCTGTAAGCAGAATTGTCTTTCCCCCTAACCCTGGGGTGGTACTAGGGACTGAGCTACCAAGCTATATCTCCAGCCTTCCCTCAAATTTTTATTTTTTAAAATTTTTTATTTTGAGACAGTTTCTTGCTAAGTTGTCCAGGCTGGCCTTGAACTTGTGCTGCCTCAGCCTGCTGGTCATGTGCCTCCATTTCTGGCTGAAGAATTGCCCTTTATGAAGTAGGCTACCAAATTGAACATAATGCTACATGCCTGAAGTTTTGGAGGCCAAAGGAGCCTGATCATCACAAGTTTGAGTTCTGCCAAGGCAACTGAGCCAGATTCTGTCTCAAAATAAGAAATAAATAGGACTAGGGATGTGACTCAGTAGGAGGGCTGAAGTATTCCAAATAGCCATTATGCAGACTACAGGAACCTAGCCCACTGAGAGATGCTGGTCTAAATCATATTGATGAGCAGACGTAAGTTCTTATTTATTTATTTGGTACAGGGTCTCAGTACATGGCTCAGCCTCTTAGTGATCCTCCTGTCTCAGCCTCCCCAATGCTGGGATAATAGGCATGTGCCACCACACCTGGTTTTCATGGCTGGCATGGTGTGAGTGAGCTTCCAGGGCCAGCGTGGCATGCCATACCAGGGATCAAACCTGGATCTTTGCACTTGCCAGGCAGGTGTTTGGACTGCTGAGCTATCTCCCCTGCCCCAGTAGACATAAGTTCTATTTTCTTTTTTAAAAAAAGATTTCCTGGGGCCGAGGAGATGGCTCAGTGGAATAAGTGCTTGCCTGGCAAGCACAAGGGCCTGAGTTCAATCCCCAGTTCCGCCAAAATAAATACATAAATAGTCTATCTTGGAAATCTTATTCCACTTTATACAGATGGAATAAGTCAGAAGATGTGATTCAGAAACCACATGGATAATCAGGGACATTTTTAGGAACTTCCCACTGTTAATGATCACCTTATAACTTCTACTTGAAGGTCCCCCCCCCCCGCCGATTTCTGGTGATCCATAGTGCTGAGATCACACGTGTGTGCCACCACAGGATCTCATTTGAAGCTTTCTGCACCCTCTGAAACAGTGGTGTTTGCAGTCCCGCCCCTGGGCAGTTCATGTCTGCTACTCAGCCTCTCCTTATGCCTTTCTCTCTTCCTACCCCAGTACATTGTGAAGTGCCATGGGAGCACACTGCTGCCCCAGTTCTTGGGGATGTACCGAGTCAGCGTGGAGAATGAAGACAGCTACATGCTTGTGATGCGCAATATGTTTAGCCACCGACTTCCTGTGCACAGGAAGTATGACCTGAAGGTAAGCAGAGAGCTTGGGGTTAGGGGAGGGTCCTTGTGGCCTGAGAATAGGGAGGGTCCTGGGAGGGAAGTGATGATTTATTTTATTTTATTTTATTATTTATTTATTTGTTTGTTTATTTTTTGCGGAACTGGGGATTGAACTCAGACCCTTGCGCTTGCCAGGGAAGCACTTATTCTGCTGAGCCATCTCCCCGGCTCCAAATGATTCCTTTTAAAAAACAGAAGAGTACAGATTTGAGTACTCCTCTTAGAAGCTGGGTTTTGTACTTTCGACCACTTCTGCTGACTTAGTCTTTGGGTCTCTCCACAGGGTTCCCTAGTGTCCCGGGAAGCCAGCGATAAGGAAAAGGTGACCCTCGTGTTAAGTGTCAGGGTGGAGGATGGGGCTGGGATGAAAGGGTCTTCATAGGATGAGATCATCAGCTGTTCTCAAGCCACTGACAAGAAGAGATGTGTGCTTCTACTGACCCAAGGTGGCCTGCGGGGCAGGAGTAGCTGCTACTTTGTCCCTGGCAGGGAGTGTTTTGTGTGGAGGTTTGGGAATGAATGGAGATACTGCACCTCAAAATGTCCACCCTCCAGCTTTTGCTGTGGGGTCTTGTACTGAAACATATTTTTGCTAAAGAGAAAAAGTCAGCGTGGAGGTTTTTATTGAAGAGTATGAGTACAATGAGGTGGTCTGCAGGCTGGAGATGTAGCACTGTGCCAAAAAGAAAACCCAAAAAACAGGGTGGAATATAATATGCTGTGGGTTAGTACAACTTAGTGACTCCAAAAAGACAATCTAGGATTTGTGCTTTTCTTTCCTGTTTTCTGAAACAAAGTCTCACTATGTGAGACTGGCCTGGAGCTCACTATGTTGTCCAGGCTGGCTCAAACTTGCAGCAATCCTCCTGCCTCAGCCTCCCAATTTCTAGAGTTACAGGTGGGTACCACCACACCCGGCTCACACTCTGGATTCCCTGGACTGAAGCAGTGTGAAACTGCCATCCTCAGGGCCACTGAGGTGGAAAGATTGCACAGAGGCAGGGCTGTGACACCCTAGCGTGGGGTGATACTGTCCCAAGACATCCTTTTCCCTATCCTAGGTTAAAGAACTGCCCACTCTTAAGGATATGGACTTCCTCAACAAGAACCAGAAAGTGTACATTGGTGAGGAAGAGAAGAAAGCATTTCTGGAGAAGCTGAAGAGAGATGTGGAGGTGATAATGGGGTGCTCAGAAGTACCCTTCTTTTGGCTCGTTTTAGTTGTTCCATTTATAGGAAAAAGTGCCTCCTCTCCCCATATTCTTTGGGTCCTCTAAATTCAGGGTTTGAGTTTGAGATAACAAATACCCACAGAGGCTGGAGCAAAGGTAAGCAATAGATTCTAGTACAGTTAGGCACTAAGGGTCAGTGGTAGTCCCACCTTCAATGTTAATCCTTAGCCTTCCCTAGGAGGTGCCCAGGAATTCTGGGGTAGAGGTGTAGAGGGTTTTCTGATCTGTCAGTGGGTCTCAGTTTCTAGTGCAACTGAAGATCATGGACTACAGCCTTCTGCTGGGCATTCACGACATTATCCGGGGCTCTGAACCAGAGGAGGAGGGGCCTGTGCGGGAGGACGAGTCAGAGTGGGACGGGGACAGTAATCCGTCGGGACCTGCTGCTCTGGTGGGCTCCTACGGCACCTCCCCTGAGGGGATTGGAGGCTACATTCATTCCCACCGACCGCTGGGACCTGGAGAGTTTGAGTCCTACATTGATGTCTACGCCATCCGGAGTGCTGAGGGTGAGAGAGATCTTGGGATTCTGAGGGTAGAGTGGGAAGGGTTGTCCTTGGGGAACAGAGACCAAGCAGTGAGTGGAGAGTTTGGTTAGCTTTTCCAAACAAATCTGATTCCTGGGGAAGGAGAATTCGGACCATACCTACCTTCTCACTGGTGGTGTTTCTCCAGGGGCCCCCCAGAAGGAGGTGTATTTCATGGGCCTCATTGACATCCTGACACAATATGATGCCAAGAAGAAAGCAGCTCACGCAGCCAAAACTGTCAAGCATGGGGTGAGAGTTCCCCAAAACTTGTCCTTTCCTATCCTGGTTATTAGAGAGTCTCTTGGGTCAGAGCAGTGGGGTGGCAAAAGAAGCGAAACAGGCTGCGGTGGGTGGGAGGACAGGGAATGGGGAAGATGTGGTGTGGTGGCCTGACACATTGTTTTGTTCCTCCTCTCACAGGCGGGGGCAGAGATCTCTACTGTGCATCCCGAACAGTATGCTAAGCGATTCCTGGATTTTATTACCAACATCTTTGCCTGAGAACCTGTCTGACTCCATGGTGATTGCTGTTTCAACTTCAAGGTGGCATGGTTCTGAGAGGCTTGGGAAAATTCTTGCCACTGCTTCTCCTCCTCCTCCTATGCTAAAATTCAGGCTGTAGGCTCCTTCCACCCAAATAGCTCCATCTCATTGAATAGGCTTTTCTTGGCCCCCAGAAATACATTGCCCTTTTCCCATCTGTCCATTTTTCTTCCTTCTCTCCCTCCTTCCAACAAGCCCTCTTGCTTCGTGAGAGTATTATTGTTGACTCTTCCAAGTGCCTTGATCTTTGTAAAATATCCTGTTGTTTCTATAAAATAGGAAGCTTGAGGGGTGGGGTCATCTTCAAGACCTGCCTGGACAGATGGACCTGGCTCAAGAAACAACTTGATGCACTTTGCTGTGTGGAATGAACTACAAGTATCTGAATTTGCTGATGACTTTATAGGACTCATTTGCTGATGACTTTATAGTATGCTTCCTTCCTGGTAGGCCATGGGTTGGAAGACTTTCGAGATACTACAAATGTGGGTGCAATATGTCATGCACATGTGACAGAAAATAGCTAATCCAGCTGTAAGGTGGGGTGGGGAGTGGTCAGCAGGCTGGCACCTCACAGAGGCAGGACCTAGAGGACTTTTGTGACTATGCAGGGAACTGGAGAAGGTCTCTGGCAAGAAGTGATTTCTCCAGTCTTCTCCAGCCCTACTCCCAGTCCCATCTGCACCCATTTACACATCTGGGCACAGAAGCCCAGAGATGGCCGGAAGTGTCTGAGCCTGGATGAAGGAAGGTGTTTGACTACTGCTGCATGGACCAGAGCCTCATGCCTTTCCTGGAGCTGGAACTCTTTCACTGGTCATGTGCTGTTCTGGAGGCTGGAGTGATGGGCCAGGGTGCACAGTTCACTTCCATGTTAATTTTTCTTCCTGGCTAGCTGTCCTTGAACTCTATTTCCAGAAGGTTCTATCTCTACTGGGTCAGTTCTGGTCATTTCAACAGGATGGAGGTCTCAAGTGTGGGAACCTCCTGAATGTGTGCAGCTAGGACACTTTTGCCTTTTCTCAAACCTTTTTTCCAGTTGGATTTGTTTTCATTCTGTTCTCTTCTGTCCCATCTTATACTGCCACTGTGTCTCCCAGAGGACAGATGGCTTTCTTTGTCATCTTCACTCTCCTCCCCCAGAGAGGAGTCAGAGCCATAACTCAATCACCCATCCGCCTCCAAAGATAGCTGAGTTAATGGGTGATATTCTCAGAATGTAGAAGACCATGATGGCATGAGATCAGATAGGTGTCCTCCCCTCCCTCCAATGCCTTTGGGGCTAAGACACTCATTCTTGATACCCCCCACCCCCTGGAAACATCCACATTTTTTTCCACATAAAGTCGAGCACCAGTGCCTGGCCCGTGGGAATGTAAAGCTGTTTTGCTCTGTGTCTGGCTGGACTGACCAGTCTCATAAGAAGGCATAAGGTCATAAGGAGATGCTGCCGCCTTTGTTCTGCTCCAAAGGAGGTAGTGAGAGGACTCCAGTGTGGGGTTGGAGTCCCTGTAATAACGTCCTGTCCTGGGCCTGTTAGGTCTTTTCCATTCCCATCTACCTTTCCCTGTTGAATGCAATAAAACTGACACCAGCAGCTGTGGCTTTTTAGAACTGGGTTTTCTGACTATGCGGCTGATGTATCACAGGCAGTATAGTCTTCCATTTGTTTCTTTTTCACCTTTTTTTTTATTAATAAAAGAAGATCGTTATGTATTTACTCCCATTACCACCACAATACAGAAAATAAATTATTCAATCCACATGCCTTCAGAGAAATTTTTATAACTTTTTTAAATTCTAAGGAATCCTGTCCTTAGGGATACAGAGCCCAACTGAAGAATTCTAAAGATGTGGGATTCTAGGATGGCTGCGCTTAGAAGGTGGTGAGGGGTGGACTACGAATGGGAAATTTCATCCACATTGTGGGAATTGCCATAGGGAGGTCCAGGGAGGAGTGGAATGATGTGGCCTTTGTGGCAGAGCTCTAGGCTTGAACACACTCCATCTCTAGAGGTAAGTAAGTGGGCCTCAGCCTACCAGCTGAACCAGAAGGAATTCAGTGTTCTGCGCCTCCTGGGAAAGCACTCTTCTGCTTGGAGAACAGGAAGTGTACATTAAGGTCCTGGGAAAATGAGTGAACAGCTCTCCAGAGGGAATGAAAGTAGGGGGAGATGACTAGCACTGGTTGCCAGTCTGGGAGGTTTCAGTGTGTCTTGGCTGAGGAGGGAGGACTTTTGGAAAAACCTGGCTTGATGTGGCCCCAGGGAAGTGAGCTGGACAGGGTGGAGACTATTCTGATGTGAGAAGCAGAAATCAGATTTTTTTTTTCCTCTGAGAATTTTTAACTCTATTTGAACCATCCATTTAACACTACAGCCATGCCAAGCCATCTAAAATAGATCTATTCACTTCCAATTCTGCACAAGTATCAGTGTCCCTGTTTGTGAAAAGAAAAAACAAATCAGGCACTTACCCATCTCAGGGCAGGTTGTGAGGGTCACAAAAGGTAATCTAGAAAGAAGAAAGAGATGAGGGAGGGGGTTGAAGTAGTTTAATAATGAGATTTTGTAGCACCAGTGCTTTTCTTTTTACTAAGATTTTCCATCCCGTGGTGTTCCTCAAAGACCTTTCTACCAAAAACGATCTCTAAAAATTGTCCTCTTCAAATTCTCTTATATTGGAGCCAGGGAGATGGCTCAGTGGAATAAGTGCTTCCCTGGCAAGGGCCTGAGTTCAATCCCTGGTTCCAAGAAAAAAAAAAAAAAAATTCCCTTATACCCACCGGCACTGCTCACCCACCATCCACCACTAGTTTCCAAAAGCTGTCACGCAGCTGGCTGGGAAAGAAAAGGGAGAGGGTGGCGTCTCTAAGGGATCTAACCTCCTACCCCCGGCTATTTGACGCCACCCCCTCCCCCCAAGCCTGGGACAGTGCCTCCATTTTTGTTTTGGGGCGAACGGGCAGGGGAGGGGTTCTCGGGTAGGAAGGGTCAAAGGAAGCAGTGATCATTACCTGAGAAAGGAAAGGGGGTGCTGTCCTCCCTCCTTCCCTTTCCCTGGGTCTGCACCCCCTTCCACCTTCCCCAGGTCCTCCCCCCCTTGTTGCTAAGGCCCGGACCGTCATCCCAGCAACAGCCTCAGTCATGTGACCGGCAATGGCGGCGCTGACGAGAGGTAGGTGAGCCCGGCGCCCCCCACACCCACCGCGTGTTCCCCGGACCCCATGTGCACCCCTCGCAAGCCCCTTGCCTCCTCCGCGCCCCCCTCCTTCGCCTCCTTCCCCGGCACGCGGTGCCAGGGCTTCTCCGCCTCCCCCCAGGACCCGGCGGAGCATCTTTCTAGCACCCTCAAGCCTTGGCCTCCATTTGGGAGTTCTGAGGGCCGCAGGCGGATTGACAGGCACCCTCACCCAGCCCTAGGGCTCCGGGGCTTCCGCGAGTGGGGGATACGGAGAGGCGGTTCCGGGTCGGTCCTGGAGGAGGCCGTGGGGGGAGGGGTGGGGCTGCCTCCGCGGATGCCCCCGGGACCCTGGCCCTCGCAGGCTGCCCCTGCCCCCCGTCGCCGTGTGGAGGAGGGACTGGCCTTGCATCGGGTCTGGGTCGCCCCAGAGGAATCTCAGATCCAGCCTAAATCAGGGCCCCGCCTCCCTTTCCTGTGCCAGCAGACTTAGAGCTCAGGTCCCGGGGCTCCTTTGGTGGGGAGGGTCCCTACCCGTGCACAGTCAGTATGCTCTGAGACTTGGGGTTCCGATTTTACTTTGTGAATCTTGGGTGCATCTTTTCTTGAGGGTACTATGACGGAGGCACAAATGGACACCGTTCCTCCTAATTAATCAATAAATTGAGATCACACTAATGGTACCTCTCTTTGAGCTGAACCTGGAGGTGTTGTGGGGACAGCCCTGTAGCTGAATGTGCCAGTACTCAGGGGAAACACCAGGCCTCTCCAGGAGAGCCCCTGCAAGAGCCCGGCCCCTTCTACCTGCAGCTTGGAAAGCTGAGGGTCCGACAGTGCTGCTGTGTGCGTTGGGTTTAAAAGGTGACAATGAGAACTTTGTTACTGCAGGGGCTGCTGCCACTTTTTGACGTCCCCGACAGACCTCAGCAGAGGGACTGAGTTAGCTCCTCAGGAAGGCTCCCCTTCAACAAAAGGGGCCAAATTACTTGGGAGTGTGGAACGGGATGAGGAGTTAGGGAGCATAAGAAATACTCCTGTCCCTGTGACCTGAGGGAGGTGGCAAGAACCACCTCTATCTGTGTGGGCTTTTTCTTTCTGCCCCTCAGGCTTTCTTGAGAACCTCTGAGATGGGGAAGGAAAGAGAGAGGTTAGAGTGTTGGAGTTAACAACTTGAGGAAAGTGGAGCTGGGGAAGAGATTCTACAGGGAGAAAGATTAGCAAATAGGAGCTTTGCTTCTGGGCTGGCTGAGGGAAGTGGTGACATTTGCCATAACCCTTTCATAACCTTTTTCTCTCACTCCTAGTCTTGGTCAGCTGAGTGTGGAGACAGGGATTTCTGCTGCTGCCATCGTCCATGGGCTTTCCAGGTACCCATCTCTGAAGAGAACTTCAGTCCATACATTGGGTTCCTCTGGTGCTCTGAGTAATCTATACCCAGGTTCCTGTCTGTTGCGTGGGCTGCTGGGCTTGGGCTGCTGGGTATTAGGGAGGGGGTTTCTCACTCTCCCTCTTTTTTCTTCTCACTCCACCAGGTCACACAACCTACAAGTAGGGAGCAGGGAAAGAGAGTGAGCCTGCATGCCAATTCTAAGCTCTTCAGGATCAAAGTGAGCACAAAGGAGGGCCCAAAGTCTCCCTCCCCTTTAAAGAGCCCAGGTGTCACCCAGGATGGGAGGGGCAGGTTGTTTCTTTGATCGTGGGTGAAGTGAAAGGAAAGCCAAGATTGATAGTAATAAGAGAGTAGGGGAAGAAACTTCCTTGCTCCTGGGGGTGCTGGGGTGTGGGAGACAGAGAAAGATGGAAAGTTAGTTTGGTGGAGGGCGTGGGGCTGGACTTTGAGAAAACAGGTGTTTGGAAGGAACCTGAACTAGGAGGCACTTAAATGTTTCAAATGGGTACCCCCCCACCCTGAGTCCCTTTCATCCTGGGGGCAGTGTCGTTCGTCCTGTCCAGAATGGCAGCCTGTGGAGGCACCTGCAAGAACAAAGTGACTGTCTCCAAGCCTGTGTGGGACTTCCTAAGCAAGGAGACCCCAGCCCGGCTGGCCCGGCTTCGGGAGGAGCACCGAGTGTCCATCCTCATAGATGGCGAGACCTCTGACATCTATGTTCTCCAGCTTTCCCCACAGGGCCCTCCCCCGGCCCCTCCCAATGGGCTCTACCTGGCCCGGAAGGCTCTCAAGGGGCTGTTAAAAGAGGCGGAGAAAGAGCTGAAGAAAGCTCAGAGGCAGGGGGAGCTTATGGGCTGCCTGGCTTTGGGTGGTGGTGGGGAACACCCTGAGCTGCACCGCCCAGGGCCACCCCCTCTCCGAGCAGCCCCGATTCTGCCCCCAGGGGCCCGGGGGCTTCCCCCACCTCCTCCTCCTCTGCCCCCTCCTCTTCCTCCTCGCCTTCGGGAGGAGGCAGAAGAGCAGGAGAGCACCTGCCCCATCTGTCTGGGGGAGATCCAGAATGCCAAGACATTGGAGAAGTGCCGGCACTCATTCTGTGAGGGCTGCATCACCCGAGCCCTACAGGTGAAGAAGGCCTGCCCCATGTGCGGCCGCTTCTACGGGCAGCTGGTGGGCAACCAGCCCCAGAATGGACGGATGCTGGTCTCCAAGGACGCCACCCTCCTCCTGCCCAGCTACGAGAAGTACGGCACCATTGTCATCCAGTACGTCTTCCCGCCCGGTGTCCAGGGGGTAAGAAAACCATGGCCTCCCCTTACCGTTTGATTTTTCCCAAGTTTGCACTCTGACATAGGAAAACTGGATGAGGTTGAGTGTGTTAGCTGTGACAGCCTTGCTGTCTTCAGTATGCCTTCCTATTCAGTGACTTGGGGCTAGGACATGGCCTTGAGCCCTGGTTTTTCCATCCTTATGGAGCCAGAGTGCACTGAATAATCAAGTATGAAGACCAAGATGCGGCCCAGTGGTGGAGTATGTGCCTAGCGCCGGGGAGAGGTGCTGAATTCAGTCCCTCATATTGCACACACACACAAAATCAGGTGTGAGAGAAAAGAATTGCACACTATGTCTCATGAATATGGATATTGACAGATATTCTTGGTGAAGGTAAATTCTGTGGAGGTGGCGGCCCCAGTGCAGTAGGCACACCAGGAAGCGGTCTGATTATCCTAACAGCTAAAAGTGGCCCTGTGTTCCACACAAGATAGTAAAACCTTGAAGAGACTGGAATGGTAAAAGCAGGAATGGTCAAGGGCATACAGGTGTCTTCCTGCTGGATAAAGGGAAACATCCAAATCTGGCTCTCAGAGGGAGAAGAATAGCTAAAGAAGAGAAATAAAGGGCTAAGGATGTAGCTCAGCAGCATAAGTGCCTGCCTGGCAAGCGCAAGGTCCTGAGTTCGATCCCCAGTATGGGGTGAGGTTGGAGGGGAAAATGGAAAAATGGAACAGGTTAAGCAGTGGCAGAAGCATTACAGTTTCAGGTAGAGGAGGGAAGGCCAAACAATAAATTTTTCTGAGTCTTAATGTTTCTGCAAGGTAAGGACCAGCTCCTTGCATCATTTCTAAGGGTCCATTTGTTACTGTACTGAGCCTGAGGGACTATGACAGCTGAAAAAAGCCTCTTAACAATAAGGATTATGTTCAGAAACAGGCTCTCGCTGCCTCCTTTCCTAGAAGGCTGGTAGCCTGTTGCTCCCTTGCCAGCATCAGGCAGGGCGCACGGATTGGCTGTGATGCCCTCCACCAGCATGTGGGCCTTAGGCCATCCTGCTGCTCACTTCCCATGCTGCTTCCCCTTCTTTCCAGGCTGAACACCCAAACCCAGGAGTTCGGTACCCTGGCACCACACGGGTGGCCTACCTCCCGGACTGCCCCGAGGGCAACAAGGTGCTGACCCTGTTCCGAAAGGCATTTGACCAGCGTCTCACCTTCACTATTGGCACGTCCATGACCACAGGGAGACCGAATGTCATCACCTGGAACGACATCCACCACAAGACCAGCTGCACAGGGGGACCCCAGCTGTGCGATTCCTCTTCATTTCCCTCCTCTTGGCTCCTCCTTTTCTCTTCATTTCCACCAAGGGAACAACATCCACCCTCTCCCTCTGGGAGCTTCCTAACTGGAGAGAACTACCCCAAATTCTTCAACCACCTCTTCCATCCCATCTCCTGATTTCAACCTGAGGCTGATGTGCCTAACTTGACCTAGAAAAATACACAGAATCAGCCTTGGTTCTGGAGGGAATCGGCTTTAGGGGAGGTGGGAAGGGATCTGAATGGGGCTGGTACGGAATCACCCAGAATGAGGGTGGGCATGGGATAGTAAGAGCAAGCCCAAACAGCTAACCCTGACTCTCACTTCTGTTTGCACCCAGGTTTGGATACCCAGACCCCACCTACCTGACCCGTGTGCAAGAGGAGCTGAGAGCCAAGGGCATCACAGATGACTGAAGGACATCCCCTTTGCCACCTTGCTGTCCTCCTCTATTAGGACCTAATGGAAGCCTCTGTTCTCTTCTCTTCCCCTGCCCTCCACACCACACAAGTAGGGGACCTGTCTGACAGAGAGGGAGTTCAGAGGGGAAGGGGCAATCCCTCCCCTGTCCCCTGTTGGCCAAGTGCTTCAGTGCCCTGTGAGCAGCTCCCTTTTGGCAGAGGCTGGTCTCCAAGCTCCACTCCCCGCGTCCCTGTACATACTTCCAGTTCCCCAGCCTCCTTTGCCCTTGGCTTTATGTGCTGTGCTCCAGTGACTAAGCTGAGAAAGGACCTGGGTGGACAGGATTGGGTCTCTTGAACCCCAGCCCCCACATACTGCTCCACTATGGACTGATGTGACACCCCCTTCTCCCAGGAGCCAGCCCGTGGTGTGTTCATAAGATACAGTTCTCCTACCTTAACCTTGTCCTTTCCTGTGTCTCAGTCTCTGTCAGTCTCTGTCTTTCTCGCTCTTCTCTGCCCCCTATAAGGAGCTCTCCTTACTCTGTTCTGGAATCGCTGCCAGAATGTAGCTTTTAATTTAATAAAAATAAAGTAAAATATGCAACTCTATGCCACACCCATTCTGTTCCATGGACAGGGAGGGGGTGGGGTGGGAAGCAGGCCCTGCTGTGAAGGGGCCAGGGGTAGCAGGGAAAATCCCCTTTTCCTGTGTTTGAGGACCCAGAGCAGTAGGATGTAACCAGTGGACTCTGCAGATATTGCGGAGCACTGAGCCATGCTTCGAGGATTAAGAGGGGTTTGTTTGTGGTTGAACTACGGTTGTAGAGAAGGGAACAACCCTACCCCTTCATCGAAGTTTGGCTGGAGTGGGAGTGGAGGCGGAGCCGGGCAGGGGGTGGATTCAGCAGCAGCAACTCCCCGGACACGCGCAGGCCTCGGAGCCCCCCAACTTCCGAGCCTCCTCCACCCTGAGACTTGAAGCAGGGTAGGGGGTCCAGCATGAAGCCCCCGGACCGCCCCGCCCCTGGCCGCACTGACCGGATACTGGGGGTCATGGGGGGCATGCTGCGCGCATGCGCTGTACCTGGGCAGGAGGGGGTAAGAAGGGGGGACAGCAGTGGGGTGGGGGAGTCTTCAGGGGCTTTCAGCAAGGCCGAACCCCACAACTCAATTTACCCGCTAACAAGCGTTCCTCGGGGTAGTTCCTGGGCTTTAAGAGTTCAATTAGAGGAGTGGAACTGCTTTCGGGGAGACCTTTTTATGACAATGTGGATTTTGACAGGGAAAGAGAAGGGGAAGGGGGAGATCGTGATCCTTAGGGGGTAGGGTTCCTTACAGTCATTCTGTCCCCACAGACCCCGAAGAAAACTCCCCAAGGGTCGGGGTGTACTGAACCAGAGAGCAACTGCTCCGAGGGGGATCAGAGAGGGGAGCGCAATCATGAGGTCCTAGCCTGGGCTCCGCTGCCCGGTAAGAAACTGGGGTGGGGTGGGGCAGTCTGTCATTCAGCGCAAAGTGGCGCTTTCAAAAATACTCTTCTCATTAGTATAGAGGTTCGCGTCAAATTTGCATGAAACCCATTTAACCGAGGAGACCGCCACATTCCTCTTCGCCGTCTAGCCCGAGGTGTGTCCCCACTTCCATCGGTCCCGAGCCCCACAGACGGAGTGTCCGGGTGCCCCACCCCTGGCCCCTCGCCAGCCCTGGCTCCAGGACTTCGCCTTAATTGGTGATTAGTTTTAGCTGGAGTCCTGGGCCTAGATAAAAGAAGGGTCCAGACAGGGGGCGGCACCGGGATTGTGTTCCCCACAAAATGCTCTCCATACACGCACCCCCCACACCGGGACCTGCTGCACCCCCGCGAGGCCGAGGACAGACGCGGCCCCAGGACGTCCTCGCCCAGGCCAAAGCCCCATCCACCTCGTTGTCCTCCACCGCAGAGGCCAAGGGGCGACCCAGACCGACTCCGCCGCGCGGCTCAGTCGCCACCCAGCGCTCCGCAGTAGGAGCCGTGATGAGGGAGGGGAGGAGAGAGAGGAGCCGCCGCTGAGCCGCCGCGGAGAAGGGGCGTGGGGTGGCGGCGCCTGGGGCCTGGGGGAGGGGGATCGGGGCGACAACCCGGCCCGCAGGCGGAGCGCGCGGGAGAGGCGGAGCCGCCCGCACAGGCCCCTCCCCGCCGGCTCCGCGGCCCGGCCTGTTATTCCGCTCGCCGCTCGGCCCGGACCCGCGCAGCGCCGGTGGCCGGGGAGCTGGCCCTCCTCTCCTCTCTGTCCGGGCCTAGAGCAGCCCCAGACACGGGCCGGAGACTGAGCGGGAGCGGCTGCCGCATCACGCCCCTGCCTCCCCACCGTCCCTCCCCCTGGCTGGACATCTGGACCCTGGGCCCCGCACCGGCAGGGTTCCGGAAACCCTCCCCGCCCAGCTCCGCGGCCCAGGCCCGCGCCGCCCTCTCTCCAGAGCCCCCAGCCCTCCCCCAGACTAGACTTCCGTCTACTCCTGGACACCCCTTCCCCATCCCCTGCCTCCCCCCCTCCCCCAGGCTGGACCCGGGTAGGAGGGAGGGGGGGTGTGCGCCTTGCGCCGTCCCCGCCCCGCCCCCCGTGATTCCCCCTGCATGGCCGGCCCGGGTGGGGGACACGGGGGGGCCTGGGCGCCATGCGGGAGGGGCACAAGGGGGGTCGCTGTGCCTGTCCCCGTGTGATTCGAAAAGTGCTGGCAAAATGCGGCTGCTGCTTCGCCCGGGGGGGACGTGGTGAGTGTGAGGTCTGGAGGGCCCAGTTTGAGCTCGGGATGGGTTTGGGGCTCAGGGCATCCGTTTGCCCTGGCCTCGGGGATTTAGGGCTGGAGTCTTGTATTTTCTAAGAAAGTGGCTTAAGGATCTCTAAGGTCCCTTTGCCTCCAGATTTGTTAGCTCCAAGTTAAGGAATTTGGGGAAAGGGTAAAAGACTGCTCTTTCTTATAGTCAACTAGATTTGAAGAAGAAAAAAACCACTCATAATCTTCTTAGGCCTAGAACCTTCAAACCATTTTCTATTTCCCTTCAAATCATCTTGCTGAGAATCTACTTCTGAAGAGGGACAGAGGGACTGAGGAATGAGGAGCTTCTACAGGGGGCTTTGCAAGAACTCCACTTGCAGCTGCTTTGAGCAGCTGGCCAGAGATAGCCCCATGGGCTCTACTCCTTGGCCCCCTCTATTGGTGTGTTTGTGTGTTGGGGAGGTGGTCTGCAGAAGTCTTTTCTTGTTATAATGATCAGCACAGTTGGGGGAGGAGGGGTCTGGGGGTGGCAGATGGACTCAGCTCTTTTTCTCCCACCCCTTTCCCTGAGAATGGTCTGTACCCATTGGAAGGGGGAGGGTTATAGGAGAGCAGATGGCTACCCTCAGTTTCTAGTGTCTGCCCAGATGGCTGCCCCCACCCCCATATCTGTTCTGTGCTCAGGATATGGGAAACCTCCCCAAGTAACTGGGGGTTCCAGGCTTGGAGAGCCAGGTGTTTCCTGTTCTTCCTCCCCAAGAAGCCCTGGTGAAATTTTCTATCCTGGGCAACTCAAGTGAGGGTGGTAAGAGTGTGAGCTTCTCTGGGAGAGAGGGGCTGAGTGCAGTGAAGAGGAGAGGAGTTCCCTGGAGATCCTGAGACTGGAACTGGGCAATGTCTATCACCTCTTTTCTTTTTTCTCCTATTAGAATCCTATTCCATTACTGGCAGTGAGGGGAGTATATCAGCTTCTGCTGCTTCTGGTCTGCCTGCCCCTTCTGGCCCCAGCTCTGGCCTCAGCTCTGGCCACTGTTCTCCAGCACCCCTAGGGCCAGTCAGTGGCCTAAGGAGATGGTTGGATCATTCCAAACACTGTCTCAGTATGGAGACTGAGGCAGACAGTGGTCAAGCAGGACCATATGAGGTGAGCATGGAGTATCAGAGAAGCATGGATGACACTGGGACAGAGGGCAAGGTGGGGCCAATGGTCTGACCAGTGACACTTGGCTTCTGGCTCCAGAACTGGATGCTTGAGCCAGCGCTAGCCACAGGAGAAGAGCTGCCAGAACTGACCTTACTGACCACATTGTTGGAGGGCCCTGGGAATAAGACACAGGTATGAAGAAGTGGGTCTGCGAGGGTGCATCTCACCCCAGAAAATATGTATTTGCTTGCAAAGATGTTCTTTCTTTCCAGCCACCTGAAGAGGAGACTTTGTCCCAAGCCCCCGAGAGTGAGGAAGAACAGAAAAAAAAGGCTCTAGAAAGGAGTATGTAAGTGTCCACAGCCCCACCCCTTGGGGAACTCACATTTGAGGTGGCATGTCCTCTGTGGCAGTGGTGATTGAAGGGGCTTCTAGTGCAGAAGGGGAGAACTAGCTAAACCAAGGACGTACCAAGGTTGAAGTGGGGGCAACCTCTTGCTCCTTTCCTAGGTATGTCCTGAGTGAACTGGTAGAAACAGAGGAAATGTATGTGGACGACTTGGGGCAGATTGTGGAGGTAGTGCCACCTTTTACCATCCTCCCACCCCCACCACCTGTCCTTTCTCTCTGCCTGGTGATATTTTTAGGAGATGTCTTTTCTCCACCCTTCTGGGCCCCTATTTGTATACTTGTTGGTAGGAGAATCCCACCAGGGCTGGGACTTATGCTCCTATTTTTACCCCAACCTTCCCACAGGGTTACATGGCTACCATGGCTGCTCAGGGGGTTCCTGAGAATCTTCGAGGCCGTGACAGAATTGTGTTTGGGAATATCCAGCAAATCTACGAGTGGCACCGCGAGTAAGTTTTGGAGCCTGAGAGCTAGGTGCTGACAGGGGAATCCAGCTAGTCATCGCTATACTTCAACCATCAGCCCACTGGGACTCAAGGAATATTAGAAGAAATTCTGCAGGGAACATGACTAGGGTGCTGGAATCAAGGGTGTGCTAAGGATGTGAGGATTCTGATATGTATTTGACTTGCCTTTTTCTGCCAACCCTTCCAGCTATTTCCTGCAGGAGTTACAGCAGTGTTTGAAAGATCCTGATTGGCTGGCTCAGCTCTTCATCAAACATGTGAGACTTAAGAGGGTGGAGCCTAGAAGAGGAAAGGCTTGGGATTGGGGCCAGGCTCTGGGAGGTGTGCTCTCCCTCCTCACTCATCCTATTCTTTTCAATGTTACACTTGTTAGGAACGAAGACTTCATATGTATGTGGTGTACTGTCAGAATAAGCCCAAGTCAGAGCACGTGGTGTCAGAGTTTGGAGACAGCTACTTTGAGGTCAGTGGTGAAGTGCCTTTGGGGAAGGAAGACAGAATCAGCATGAGAAGACTTTCCTTGCTGTATAACTAACCTTGTCCCAGGGCTGGGGAGATAGCTCAGCAGAATAAGTGTCTGCCTGGCAAGCACAAGGTCTTGAGTTCAATTCCTGGTACTGAGAAAAAAAAAAAAAAAAAAGGAAGAAAGAAAGAAAACTAACCCTCTTTCTGTCCCCAGGAGCTCAGGCAGCAGCTGGGACACCGCCTGCAGCTCAGTGACCTCCTCATCAAACCTGTGCAGCGGATCATGAAATACCAGCTGCTGCTCAAGGTCAGGATTGCCTTCTCCATGCAGGCACTGTTGACTGGAAGTGAACACATCTCCCCAGGGTTCTCAGGGCTTCCTAGACTTCCTTACCTGTGTCCTCGGGGAAGGATGTGAGTGCTTCTGAGGAAGTCCTTCAGACCTCCCTGAGCACATCTTCTCTGTTTTAGGATTTTCTTAAATATTACAGTAGAGCTGGGATGGATACAGAAGAGCTGGAGGTGAGGACTCCCAAATCCTCCAGGACACACCATGTAGTCCCCCAGGGTGGTTTAGAGCTGTCTTGTTTTTAGGGGAAGGCTGGTTGGGATGGACACATGTGAAGACACAGCGGGGTGAAGAATATCTTTACCCAACAACGTTCCCTGCTCCCCTGTTTCCCAGCAAGCTGTGGAGGTCATGTGCTTCGTGCCCAAGCGCTGCAATGATATGATGACCCTGGGGAGACTGCGAGGATTTGAGGTATAGAGATGGGATGAGAAACTGCAGCCCAGTGCTCTTGTACCCCAGTCTGGACATTCTTCTGGATTTGACTTCATGGTTGGTTGGGGTGGTGTCTGGGGGGAAAAAAGATGAAACATGTGCCCTTTCTCTCTTGCATTTCCTCAAAAGCTGTATTTTTTTTCAATTTTTTAAAAAAAATTTTTATTGAGAAATAAATATGAATGAGACAGTTTGACAGCTGATTAATAGGACAGTTTTGATAATCAATACATTGTACATTGTTATCTTCTTAGTGGTTATCCATAGTACAAGAAGCAGACAGGATATTCTGTCTAAATACTGTTAGTACACCGCTTTCTTCTCTTTGAATTAAGCAAAAGTAGCTGTAAATTTATCCTAATATATATATATATATATATATATATATATATACAAAATGATCATTCCTTTTTTCCCCCAGCATATTATTCTTTTTTTTTAAAGCTGTATTTGTTAATTCCAGGGCAAACTGACTGCTCAAGGGAAGCTCTTAGGCCAGGACACTTTCTGGGTCACGGAGCCTGAGACTGGGGGCCTGCTCTCTTCCCGGGGTCGGGAGAGACGTGTCTTCCTCTTTGAGCAAATCATCATCTTCAGCGAGGCTTTGGGAGGAGGAGTGCGAGGTGGCACACAGCCTGGATATGTATACAAGAGTAGCATCAAGGTGGGAAGGGGCTGTGAGGGAGGGCCGCAACTGGGATGGCTTGAGAGGATGTTTAGGTGCTGGACTGGTTGGAGAGCCTGACTTTGGAGTTCTCCTATCTGCCAATTCAGGTGAGCTGCCTGGGACTGGAGGGGAACCTTCAAGGTGATCCTTGTCGCTTTGCACTGACCTCCAGAGGGCCAGAGGGTGGGATCCAGCGCTATGTCCTACAGGCTTCAGACCCTGCAGTCAGTCAAGCCTGGATCAAGCAAGTGGCCCAGATCCTGGAAAGCCAGCGGGACTTTCTCAATGGTGAAGCCCCTGTTTTCCCTCCTTCACTGCACCCTCATCCCGTGACTTTCTGAGTCACTTCCCAATCTCCAGCTCTGGCCTCTGACCCTGGCTTCTTTCTGCCACCACATTTTCCCAGTTAGCTCGAGACTTGGTAACTCTAAAGCCCTAAAGCCCCAAGCACTTTATACTGGTAGATATACTGGTAGATATGGAAGGGCAGAATGAGAGGATGACACATAAAAGCTCTCGGAAAGGGGCCTGTTTCTGCTGTAACCTCCCTGTTGTTCCTTTCTTTGCCCTAGCATTGCAGTCACCCATTGAGTATCAGAGACGAGAGAGCCAGACCAACAGCCTGGGACGGCCAGGAGGGCTTGGGGTAGGGAGCCCTGGGAGAATGCGGCCTGCGGACCGGGCCCAGGTCAGCACTCATGCGCCCATCAATGGCTCTCTCCCCTCCCTGCTGCTGTTGCCCAGAGAAGTGGCCAGAACCCCTGTGCCTCTGGACACACAGGTATGAGGAATACAGTTCCCTGGTTGTAGGGCTGGAATGGGGAGGACCTTTTTTCTTCCCAGATCTCCAAGTCCTCCCTGCACATATCTCCTTTCTTCTATCACCTTTCTTTTGTGTTTCTCTTCCTGCTTCCCATCGCTTACTTTCCTCCCCTCTATGTTAACTCTGGGCCAAGTGGAGGCTGAAACTAAGAAGACAGGGGGTAAAGATAGGTGTTGGCGTTCCCTGATTCTCTAATTGAATCTTTCTTCAGGTCCTTAGTGGTACCCCCCAGGCTCCTCATGACTCTCCTCCAGTTCCTCCAACCCTGAACACCCTTCCCTGCCAGGCCAGACTTGCCAAGCTAGATGAAGATGAGCTGTAACTGGTGAAGGCCGTGGAGGTAGTGCTGACTCAACCACCTATTCCTCAAGGAACTGCAAGGCAATTCTGTCACCGTGCCAGAATTCCTCCCTCTCCCACAATTCTTCTCTCTTGGTGCACCTGAAGGGTGAGCGAGACCAGGAAGATGTCAATGTGGAGGAGAGGACCTAGGCCCCAAAAGACTTCTTTCTGTCCAAGAAACACGAGATCCTTCAGCTCCACCCTATGCATGCATCACCATCACCTCAAAAGGAAGATTATGTGGGTGGTTGGGTGGGAGGGCTGGGGCAAGGGCTTGGGTTAATGGTTTGGGTTTTGATTTTGTTTTTGCTGTTCTCTGAGAATAAAGGTTTTGTTATATCACAGAGGCTGCTGTCTTGGCAGAGGGAAGAAGGGACTGCATTTGTGGGGAAGTGATATAGAGGAGGCTCGCTGGCCCCATTCAAGAGGAGGGGCTTGGTGAAAGGACTGGGCACAGGCTATGGAACACATTGCTGTCTCTGTCCCTCATGTGCAGTTACAGTAGCTGTTAGTCTGGACCTGGGGTCTTGGGCCACTGGAAGACCTTAGAATTCTCTATGTAGTCTCCCCTTCATTTGGAACTCCTTCACTCTCATTCACCCTCTGGTCTAGACCCCACCAGAAAGCTTGGTGTGGCATAATGTCCCATTGTTCCCAACTCCCTGACCCATAAGCACAAAGCACTCAGTGTACCTGTCCTCCTGTGGCTTCCACGTTCAGCTGGGGAATGGGAAGATGGACAGGAGCCTGGGTGCCATGGCGCATTTTTGGCTCTGGTTTATCCTTGGTTGTCTGAGAGATGATAACAGCATCCATACTGAGCAGGCAGGGATTTGTCTGCAAACCTAGATCCAAGAATGAAGGTCCAAAGGGGTCTTCCCCCTCCCAACTTCTGGCACAGCCCCTGGAGCAGAGAGCTAAACATGTAGCGGTCCAGGTGCCCAGTTCTGGGTCCTTGTGTATCTACGTGTCCACAGTGTCCGTTTGTCCCTTGGGTTTGGTCACGTGTTGTGGGGCTTCCTTAGCAGACAATAGACTACTAGGGTGGGAGGGTAAGGAGATGTTGGAGTCTCCCTGAGGGCCCCAGGTCCCTCTGGCCGACAATGAAGGGAGGGAACTGTAAGGAGGGGACAGGACGCAAGACCCAGATAAGATTTCTGGGGAACAATAGAAGGAATTGAAGAGGGGAGACCCCACCCTCTATGTACCCCACCCCTGAGGCTTTAAGGTCAGGATCTGGGGGGCCAAATGGTGATGGGGAGGGGTGCCAGATGTTCTTGCAAATGGAGGAGGGGACTACAGCTATTAGCAAGATTCTAGAGTTCAGTAACTGCAGTGGATGGGTGACCCCTTTGTATCTAATTTAACCATGCTTATACTTTAGAGTATTTAGTTTGAGAATAGAATTTGAATGTAATAACTTGTGCTTCGAAATTTTCTTTTTCAGTCCTAAGAAATAAAATCATTATTTCCCCTAAATTAGGCCCAGCCATTCCCTGCAGAAGTGTGGGTGGTGGTTCTGTCATCATTGTTGTCTAATACATGTAGTTGCTTTCCATCGCAGTAGTTCATGAAACTGTTGAAGCCAATAAAGCCCCTTACACATTTTGGGAAAAAATGTTTTGGATAGGATTTGGATCTGGGGTGGGTTCCCAGCTGTCACTGGACTTTCTTGCTCAGGCCATGGCAGGAATGCAGTGACTTAGGGAAGGACCAAGGGCCCCAAGAAAAGTCAGCCTGTTTCTCCTCAAAATGCATATGGGAAGGGAATAAGTGGGGTATCAAAAGACTTAAGAAGGCCAGGCATGATGGCACATGCCTGTAATTCCAGCACTTGGGAGGCTGAGGCAGAAGGATTGCTGCAAATTTGAGGTCAGCTTGGGCTACACAGTGAGCTCAAGGCCAGCCTGAACTGCTGAGAGACCTTGTATTTAAAAAAAAAAAAAAAAAAAGACTTAAGAGTAGTAAGCAGTGGGTGTTAGGATTTGCCAGGCTCTAGGAATACCGGATCCAGCCAGATTCAGCTGAGTATATCTGAGGAAATGTCTATTACAGGGTCTCCCCTCCCAAACGACCTTACTAGGTCCCCAGGAGAGGGCGCCCTCCAGGTCCCGATTGGCTCCTGCTGCAGGGAGGCGGGACTCAGGGCCAGGGGGCAGATGGGGTATTTAAGACTTTGAAGAGTCAGAGGCAGCCAAGGGCAAAATGAGTGGGTTACTGGGCTCCAGCACCTGCTCAGGCCCTGGGGAGACCTCCGGCCCTAGGTCTCCCCTGGTCACCAAGCTCAGGGAACCTCTCACCGAAGCCCGGTTCCAGCAGCTTTTCGGGGTTGCAGAGCGGGAGTCGGAGCTACCAACGGAGCGCGGTGGGCCGCGGCTGTGCAGGCTGTGGAGGCGGCGGGCGCGCACCTGCTCCGGGCCGGGAGTGTGGCGCCTGCTGCTGGCCAGGCTTCCCCCACTACGCTGGCTGCCCCGCTACCGCTTGCGGGCCTGGCTGCTAGGGGATGCGGTAGCCGGAGTGACCGTGGGCGTCGTGCACGTGCCCCAGGGTGAGAGGTCCCCCCAGCATCAGTCAGGCAGGGCCCAGGCTTCAGATGGCTTTGGGGAGGAGGCCTGCGCAGCTAGAATCCCAGTAGGAGTCTCCGAGGGTTACGAGAAAGGGACCTGGGACCAAGCACTGGGGAAAGACTGCGGAGGTCCGGCACATCCCCACCCGCTTCTCCCCTCGTCGGCTCAGTCTCCTGAGACGGTCTTGGACCGGCTTCAGCTCAGGCAAGGGACACAAGCCTACCTCCCAGGATGCAGACCCACACGGATCTGTGACCTGGACCAGGTTAAGAGCTCTCGTTCTCGCAGAGGCCTATTAACCCCTCAGTTCCTCGCTATAGCATGGTACTAGCCTGTAAGGTGTGGGCCACCCGTACAACCCCGCCTGCCCCCCGACCTTTCCCATCTACCTTCCCTAGGCATGGCATTTGCCCTCCTGACCTCTGTGCCCCCGGTGTTTGGACTCTACACGTCTTTCTTTCCTGTCCTCATCTACAGCTTGCTGGGCACTGGGAGACATCTTTCCACAGGTGAGTATCCTAGGAATGTACCCAGCTCCCCTTTTCCCCTTGGGGCAGGATGCCAGGAACTCCAGGTGTCCTTGAAAGCCTCAGAGCTGAAGTCCCTGCTCCTCACTTCCTCCTTCCCTTCCTACCTTACAGCCTACAGCCGCTCTGCTTGAAATTGTGGCCTAGGTACCGCTGCTTGAGGGGATGCAAAGCGGCAGTTTACTTGTCTACCTCCACGCCCAGGGCCGGGGAGATGGCTCAGTAGAATAAGTGCTTCCCTGGCAAGCGCAAGGGTCTCAGTTCAATCCCCGGTTCTGGAAAAAAAAAAAAAAAAAAATCCCTCCAACCCCCATTTAGTCAAAATGTTTTCCAGGGCAGGAAAGTGAGGAAAAGATGGCAGTGCGCTCCCCTTCCTCCCGCGCTCCAGGTCCCTGCGGCAGCCCCTGTCTGACGGCAGCACCCCAAATTCCAGAATGGCAGAGAGGGCTGGCACCTGGTCGAGGGAGGCAACCACCGATGATTTGGGCGTGTGTCCTGGCTCCAGGCACTTTCGCAGTACTCAGCCTCATGACCGGCTCGGCAGTCGAGGGACTGGTGCCTGAACCCCTGGCGAGGAACCTGAGCGGAGCCGAGAGGGAGCAGTTGGATGCTCAGCGGGTCGGGGTAGCCGCGGCGTTGGCCTTCGGGAGCGGAGCGCTGATGGTGAAGGCGGACCAGGGGGCGCCCCGGGGAGTCGGGGGCGGGTGAGAAGGAGGAGGGGTCTGGGGGACGCACACTCTGGCCTGCCTACCCCCGCCGGTCTTAGTGACTGCGCGGCTTCTCCCCGCAGCTGGGCATGTTCGCGCTGCAGCTCGGTGCCCTGTCCACCTTTTTATCCGAGCCCGTGGTCAAGGCGCTGACCAGCGGGGCTGCGCTGCACGTGCTCGTGTCCCAGTTGCCAAGCCTGTTGGGGCTGTCTCTGCCGCGCCAGATGGGCTGCTTCTCTCTCTTCAAGGTGGGGCGAGAGCACAGCGGAGCTGGGGCTCTCAGAGACCCCGCGAAGAGGGGGAACCCAAGAGGGAGGAAGAAGGGTGGAGGGGCACTGGGCGATGAGCCAAGGAAGAGGCCAGGGACGCGTGGCTGTGGGAGGGCACTGCGCTGGTGGAAGCGTAGGCAGCCAGTGACAGTCGGGACGGCGGGCTGTGTCTTGGCCACCCGGATCTGTCCCTCTGCTCACCTCCCCTGCTTACAGACCCTGGCGGCCGTGGTCACCGCGCTGCCCCAGGGCAGTGCGGCCGAACTGACCATCTCCGCGCTCAGTCTGGCGCTGCTTGTGCCGGTCAAAGAGCTGAACGTGAGATTCCGACACAGACTGCCCACCCCGATCCCAGGGGAAGTCGTCATGGTAAGGACGGCCGGGGCTCCCGGCTCCTGGGCCAGCAGGACCCTGCCCATCCTGTAGGAACTGGCCGCGGCCGCCCTCTTGTGGAATGCGAAGGTCACAGACAGAGGTTTAGAGGTTCCTGGACTTTTTCAGGCCTCCTGTCAGGGCTCTCTGACCCTGCAGGATCCCCTACCTCCACTGTCCACTTCTGATATTGAGCCCGCTCCAGGCCCTGGCAGTGCCTTCTCCCTCCACACAGCGTCCCCTTGCGGTGTCGTTCTCTGCAACAACTCCTCATCTCTCCTCTCTGGATTCTTCACGTTAATCAGCATTATCTCCCTTTCCATTCTCCACCCAGATTGCTCTTTCTGAGGAAATGTTACATGCCGTTACAGATGCCTTCTATAGGCCTATGTATAATCCAACCTCCCGATTTCCAGTGGCTTAGTCGCACTTCTTGTCCACCACCTCCATACACGCTCCCTCTTTACTCGCATCATCCCGTCGTAAGCCAAGGAGTGCTTTATTCATTTCCTGTCCTCATACTCCCTGACTGTAAGTGTATTGTCAGGCATGCATTCCAAACGTATGGCGGCCTGCCAGCTGCTAGAGCCCCGTGACCCCCTGGTCCACATTGTAACGCTTCCTCCTGCTGAGCCCCTTCTAGCCTTCTCTTCCCAGCGAGCCTGAGCCTGACGCCATCTCCCCGCCAGGTGCTTCTGGCTTCTGTGCTCTGCTTCACGTCTTCCTTGGACACAAGATACAATGTGCAGATAGTGGGGCTGCTGCCTGGAGGGTAAGAGAGAATGATACTAGTTTTTTCTTCTCCCACCAGCACCTCCTCGGGTCCTGCCACCCCTCTTTGCTCTGCCTTTCTTCTCTCCCTGCGGTATCCAGCCAGTCCTTACCACGGAACTCCCTCTCCAGATTTCCCCAGCCGCACCTCCCCAACCTGGCTGAGCTACCCAGGATTCTGGCAGATTCACTGCCCATTGCATTGGTTACTTTTGCTGTGTCTGTCTCACTTGCCTCCATCTATGCGGACAAGTATGGCTACAACATTGATGCCAACCAGGTATGACTTTTTAAAAAAAATTTTTATTTATTTGTGTGTGTGTGTGTGTGTGTGTGTGTGTGGCCAGCTCAGCCCACCAGGGGGCGGGGCTGGCTGACATGTGGTGCTGGGGGATTGACCCCGTGGTCCCTGTGCTTTGCTAAGCTTGTTGTAAGTAGGTGCTTTAGATCACTGAGCCGTCTCACCAGCCCCCAGGTACGACTTTGACGGTAGACCTCTGCCTCAGTCAGAAGACAAACACTTAACCCAGTCTCCCCAGTCCTCCAACTCTCTCTTCATCTCTTAAATCCTTCCAGGAGCTCTTGGCCCATGGCATCTCCAACCTTGCTTCCTCCCTCTTCTCTTGCTTCCCTAACTCGGCCACGCTGGCCACGACCAGCTTACTAGTGGATGCTGGTGGGAATACTCAGGTAAGAAGGTATTTGGGGTTGAGGAGAAAGAATGCGACATTCTGGCAGATGGCAGTGGTGGAAGAGTGGTTGGCATCTGTACAGAAAATGAGAAGCAAGGGACAGGGATTATAGGCAGGAGTCTTAAAAGATAGCAAGGTTTTATTTTCATGGTGACTTTGGTAAGCTTTAAGTACTGAAAAAATTTATGGTTCAAAGTAAAACAATAGTAATCTGTAATTTAAGAAATTTAAGAAATAAAATCTTGGGGGCCTGCCCTTTAGCTCAGTTCTTTAAGTGGCTGCTTCCACAAAGCAGTCAGGCTCAGATTGCTGTGGTTCGATCCCCACAACTCAAGGCAGCCAAACCTGCCCTGAAGGCATTCAGAGCAAAAATAAATAAATAAATAAATAAACTCTGTATTTTTGTGTGTGATACTAGTCTTATATGTGCTAGGCAAATGCCCTCTCACTTATCTACATTCCCAGTCCAAGAGTCTTTTTTTTTCTTCAGTGAGGAGAGCCCTCATTCCACCCATCATACCAGGGGTTGAACCCAGGGCCTTTATGCTGAGCTACAGCCCAGCACTTTTTGTTCTTTTTGAGACACGCTGGCCTCACTAAGTAATTAACTCACCCAGCCTGAGCTGGAATTTGCTATCCTCTTGCCTCAGCCTCCTGAGTGCTGGGTTTATAGGCAGGTACCCAGTGAGAACATTTTTTTGTTTGTTTGTTTTGTTTTTGAGATAAGCCCTTGCTGTATAGTTAGTTCAGATTGGCCTCAAACTCACTATATAGCCCAGGTTGGCCTCAAACTCACAGTGATTCTCCTGCTTTACCCTTTCAAGTGCTGGGATTATAGGTGCGTGCTCCCATGCTTAGCAGGGCAGCTTTAAAATAAAAACAAATCATAACTGAGTATGGTGGTGCATATCTCTAATCACACAGCACTTAGAAGGCTAAGGCAGGAGGATCTCCTGAGTTCAAGGTCAGCCTGGGCTACATGGTGATGGCCTGTCTCAGAAAAAAAAAAAAAAAAGCAAAATAGTTTCCATCTATATATTTGATGTTTTTACTTCACTAGTGTCCTAAGCAAGCAAATAACTTGCTTATAGGATGATTCAAGAGTGGCTTTTTTTTTTTTTAATTTATTTGTGTGTGTGTATGTGTGTGTGTGTGTGGCCAGCTCAGCCCACAGGGAGTGGGGCTGGCTGGCATGTGGTGCTGGGGGATTGAACTGCGGTCCCTGTGCTTTGCTAAGCTTGTTCTAAGTAGGTGCTTTAGACCACTGAGCCA